GTTATTATTTAATTAAACATAAACAGTTACATTATAATATTGTATTCTAGGTATATATTACTTTCTACCATACTACATGTTCATAATATCTGCAATATTAAATAATAAATTAGTTCACTACGGTTCACCATACCAAAAGATTAATTTATGAACAAATTTACATAATCCACCATTACAACTTATGCCATTACATTATATAGTTAATCTCATTAAGTATAAATAGAGATACAATAAAAAAAATTAAATTGTAATTGAACCTCACAAAACAAGATAACCCCATAATATAACACCATATCAAATCTATCTAGCAATTGAGTTAACACATCTAAGACTGCTATGCTTCAGACTTAAAAGGAAAACGCGTCTTGATCTGTACCACGTTGGGCTATGATCTAATAAAAATGAGTGTGAAAATCTAATAAAAATGTTTGTTGTACATCTCAATATGCACTAAACAAAAATTAGTTTGAACGAGATACAAGCTTTTGGGATATAGTACTTTTTATACCGTAAATTAATAGCTTTTCTTATTTATAAAAATACTATAAGACACTGAAAAACAAATTTATTAAGTTATTTTTTGCTGTCCGAAAAAGTATTATGTCCCTGACCTCTGCTTGCTTCTATGAAATCCTTCAACTTAGATAGTTTTTATATAGGGTAATAATTTTTTTTAGTAAATGTATACCTATTATCTTTTTTTTATTGAATGAAATTAATTTTCAGGTGACATGCCGGCTGAAGCTGTGGCAACAGCAAATTTAATTTCTGATATGGACCAGTTATTTGACGGTGTAAATGCATCTACACCTGATTTACGACGAGGTAAAAAGTTTTCAACAAATATTAAAAGATCTACAGAACATTTGCAAATGTTTACAAAAATGAAACATTTTTTTAGTTCACTGGAGTTTTTAGGGTGTAAGGGTAATCCACCATCGAAAGAAGGGTGGATTTGGACCCTTAATGGCATTGAAATGATATGGAGAACATTTAGCTCCAAATACAAGACAGTCGAAAGTCTGTCTACAAGAAGGCTCCAGCAGGATCCACTCGAAAATTTATTTGGATGCATTCGGTACAATTGTGGGTCTAATAATAATCCAACAGTTGCACAATTTGTTGCTGGTTTAAAAACAGCTGTTATAAGCAACATAGCACACACAAACTCAGGTAATTGTGAAGCTGATAGCAACAGTGCCATTATTACAAATTTTAAGACATTGCTGACACCAGCTCCAGACCTATGCACTGAAACAGAGCAATGTCATATGGAAAAGGATATTGATGAAAATATAACTTCCTCTCTCGAAGAGAACTTGGAGGAAGGAAGTGGCGAAGTACAAGCATGTGCATATGTCTGTGGGTTCATTATTAAAAAAAATAAAAATAATTGTAGCCATTGTAAAAAAAATTTTGTCTCCGAAACCCCAGAAGAAGTCCATAATTTCATTGAGTTCAAAAATTACGATGATGTAAAAAAATCACTTACATACGCCTCAAAAAGTTTAATAGCTTGCGTAGAAAAAAGTGCAAGCGTAATAAATATATTTTTAGAAAAAGAGGCGTATAAGGAGGATATTAAAAAAAAAGCAATACAGTTATTAAAGGACTCAATAAATTATGGCTTCCTGGAAGATTGTGTAGAGCACAAAAATTACAACAAAATGTATATTATAAATAGTGTCTTCCACATTGTTGTAAAAAGGTATTGTATTCAGAAAAATAGATTTTATGCTGAAGAGTCTAGTAAAACTGCACTTAAACGAAAAATGAACATAGTTATGCATAAATAAACAATATCACTAGCCGATAAGTACTTTTTAACATATAGAATAACAATTTGAATAGAACTAAACAAGGTGACCTTATTCTTCAAAGAAAGTGCAATCTATCACGTCTAGATTTTGTCTAATCTACTGTTAAATTCCTGAAATTATATATTTTTTTCCTTATTCTGCGACTTTGTACAAAAAACGTTTGTATTGAAAAATTATTAATAAGTATAATATATGAAACAACAACAAATCTTATTCTCATCATATCACTTTGAATTGATTTTCTTGAACATTTCATCACTGAATTATGGCAGTTTGAAATTTAAACAGAATCAATAGAACATTTTTAATATTGGTCACATGCGAAAAATCTCTAGAAATAAACTGCCATATATGTCGGCTATAGAGAATGTTAAAGTATCAATTCAAAGTGCTATGAAAGGATTAAACTTTAACTTTTAAATTAATTTGTTTAAAAATATACTAAATGGAATAGTTAATTTTATATTAAGCGATATAATACGTTAAAAAAACATTTATGTAGACCAGTGTAATTTATCTTACCAACGAATTGAGTAGGAGAGTATTGAAATTAAAAATCTATTTCTTCCGACAGTTAGATAATAAAAAATATCGGACACGTATTTTTATATTTTGCTATATAAGTAAACAATCCTTATCCTCACTTCCTTACTAATATTATAAATCGGAAAGTGAGTTTGTTTGTTTGTTTGTTCCGCTTTCACGCCGTAACTACTAAACCGATTGCTTTGAATTTTGGCAGATGTACAGTTAGAAGTCTGGATTAAATAATAGGGTACTTTTTATCCCGAAAAAATGTGATATTCTCGAGGGAAAACGAAATAATTGGTATAGATGGCGCTGTGTGTATTGGTATATGTCATATAAGCTACTTTTTATCCTTTTGTGACGCGAGCGAAGCCGCAGATAAAAGCTAGTACTTAGATAAAACGAATTTAAGTTTAGGAGTGAAAACTAGCTACGCAATCAGTTTCATAGCTTTTATAAAGTCAATTTTCAAATTGCTCAATTGCATTCAATTGTCAGTCTGATCCTGTACTTTATTGTTCAAAAACTTATAGAAATTAATTTCTAAAATCTGCAGGATGGGTGTAAGTCAAAGTCAATATTTTTTATTTCAATTAGACCAGAAAGCTACTTTTAAAAGTGAAGCTATATATTTGCTTAATCAAAGTCAAAGCATTTATTTCAATTAAACCATAATTTGGTACTTCTGAAACGTCAACAAATACAAAGTAAATAAGAGTCTGTCAGTCTGTTCGTCAGTGAAGCTAAGTGAAGCTAGGTGCTCATTCCAAAATGTAGATTCGAATGGAAAATAACGTAATGTATTTTTAACGTCCCAAAAGCAATATGTGGTCTTAAATTCTACATTGATGAATCAATTAGTCAGGATGACTTGATCAACTTGTAAGAATAGATTATGTTCATTGTTCTTTATAGTGCAGTTATACTTGGTGCCTGCATGGTGATTTACAGCCCACTCGCACAGAGAGGGAGCCTTTAAATTAAGACTTCTATTATTGCACAATAGTGTATATTGTCAGATCTATTTGCCTGCAACCAAAATAATAAGTATCTCTCTTTGTAACCATTTCTTTTTATATTTCATTGAACTGAAATAATAATAATTAAATAAGAAACACACCTGGAGACGTATACTTTTTGCTATGGTTGAAGAGCTTGGTTTTTTCAAATGTATTTAAAGATTTTATGCATAATCATATATGCATGATTTTATGCATAATTTAGATTTTAAATAGCATACGAATTGTGCGTTTATTTCACTTATCAACATTTTTTTTTCTCAGCTATAAGAATAAATATTTAGAAAAGAACTAAACAAGGATATCTTATTCTTTAAAGAACGTACATATTATCACGTCTATATTTTGTGTATTCTACTGACAAACTCCTGAAAAAGTGATATATCTTGCCTTTGTAAAAAATCTTATTATTTAAACATTTTTAGTAAAATAAGCAGAACTAATATTATTCTCTAAATATCACTTAGCATTAATTCTCTAACATATTTCGTTACGAGTTATGGCAAATAGAAATATATTTAATATTCGTTGTGACGACAAACGTGTGAGGATAAATAAGTAGAAACAAATTGACATACAATTCATTTTTTTTTAATATAGTAAATGGTTATTTACTCAAAGGAGATAATAATAAGTATGGTAAAATGATAAAAAACTTTGTTAACAGATTACATAAAATTTATATGTGATATTCCACCGATTCGCACAAAGCTATTTGCTTTTTAAAAATTCTTATTTTTCATATTTTTTGTATAAAAATATCATACTACTAGCGCCATCTTTCCATGCGAAATAGATATACCCTAAATTAAACAATAAAACAATTATAGTTACATATTAGTTTACACTTATACCAATAGATAGTGCTAGTAATATGATATTTTTACATAAAAAATGCGTTGTAAAATATTTACGTGCTTCTAAAATATCTGACTATTTCATTTTGGTTTCACAGCTTTGCCTCAATTAATATCAGCGTGACTGCTGTTACAGCTCTTTGTTGTTATCATGTTGTTTATCATAGTAACAATATTTCCTAAAAATGAATCATTATATAATTTCTTTTTAATATTATTCTTCACTTTCTAATTAAATGTGTCAAATATTGTTGTACTCAACCTGTAATTGTGCAAGTACTTTATTTTGTATTCAAGTATAAATAATTGTTGATGAGCCTAATAAATAAAATAATATAGCTGTATCCCGATCAATTAATTTTAAGCCAAATAAATAGAGTGAAATACTTCTGTTTGTTTCATTTATCTCCTCCATATTTAATGATTTAGTCATTTTATACACAAGTACACTGTATGTCTCGATATTGGTTATATGTATACTGATCAAGATGTTAAAGGTAATTATCGAGAAATGCACTGTACTTGTGTATAAAATGCTATACAAAGAATATACCGCGTGTTTTGAAATTCCCGCCCTGGTTTCTTTTGCTTAGTATTGGAGGGCAAGGCATAGATGGCGTTCGTCGGTAAGGTAAAATTTCCTCGCGAAACTTGTATGAAGTCGTTATTCTTCCCTTAGGGTATATATGTTCTGTGGTCAGTTGTCAGCTTGTCTTGTGCTTGTGTTGTGTTTCGTAAAAAAATACTCAACTCAAAGAATTGTTGTTGATTTCAAATTAAATTATCACTAGAATTTTACCAACAGTGAAGATTAATTTATAAATTATAAATAAGAATTGTGTGGTATATGAGGTATAGTGTCTCTATACTATGATACAAGGAAAACTATGGTAAAGCTAAAGCTAAGCCATGGAATCACATTCCAAGTACGTATTTAATATTTACGTGTTAAATTTATGCATTGAAAATAAATATATACACATTATGGTCTCGAGTAGCTTTAGGAAGAGGTGTAAATAACGTGTATGAGGATACAATCATGTACCTATCTTGAATTTTGTTGACTTATGGTAAAGGGCGGGAATCTGATTAACTTTTCTTTTTGGGCCGTTCAAGAACGAGGGCGAGATACAGGCTAAGTTATATCGGTAATGCAGGCTACACACATTTTCGGATTGAACTGTGTGGTTTTAACTGTACAGTCGAACTAAATCAAATTTAAAAATTTCTTAAAGAAGGTTCTCCTCGATCGCTCGATCGATATAAGCAGTTTTTTTGTAGTGTTTTAACACATCGGGTTACAATATAGCTTATGTTCATCATCGATAATGTAGGATTTCCTCATACATTAGAAATTCTTTACCGTTGGAGGAAAAAGAATTTTTCAAATCAGTCTAGCAGTTTCAATTAAAAAAACAAACAACCAAATCTTTCTTAACCCTTAAATCCCCAAGCAGTCACCGGTGACCGCTTTCCACTAATATTACATTACATTATAGACCTTATTTCTAATGTTTAGAGAATACTTTTGTATGACCAAATTTAGGGGATGGATATCAACGGGTTAACATAATAACATCACACCTTTAATACCCGAAGGGGTAGGTAGAGGTGCACATTACGGCACTATACATTGTAACACCCACTTTTCGCTATTTATGTTATGAGTCCCATGTAATAGGGGTGAGCCTATTGCCATATACCTACCGGGCACGATTCCAGATTCCGTGCTACAACTGAGAATTTTTTTAAAACCCAGTAGTACTTTGCCAGACCCGGGAATCGAACCAGAGACCCCTTGCCTGGCAGTTGCACTTGCAACCATTCGGTCAACGAGGCAGCAAATCTTTCTTTTTTATACTATTACTAGTGTAGATGATTGTGTATGAGTTAATCCATATATATGTACTTTAACATTTCAGTTTTCCTAAAGAACTCACCTGCAGTCAATGAGTGAAAGCTCTCGATATGGATGAGACTGGGAAGCTATAGAACGCATCTCTGTGTTCTGAGGATATCCATCTTGAGAACTTCATGTAAAGATGAAGAGAAATAAAAGTGGTGCTGTGCCCAGGACTTCCAAGGTAGACTTATCAGAAATATTACTATATTGTTTTTTATTTTTTTTTGTCATAGGCCGGTAAACGAGCAGACGGATCACCTGGTGGTAAGCAATCGGCGTCGCCCATGGACGCCTGGAACACCAGAGGCGTTACAAGTGCGTTACCGGCTTTTTGGGGATTATGAGTTTGAGGATCGATGGGGATTCACGGATTGGGGAGATTGGGGAAGGGGAGGGTAATCGGGCCCCCGGTAACCTCACTCACACGACGAAACACAACGCAAGCGTTGCTTCACGTCAGTTTTCTGCTCGGCCGTGGTATCACTCCGGTCGAGCTGGCCTATTCGTGCCGAAGCATGGCACTCCCACACTTACTATTTGGTACCACACAATAAGTAGGTATTGGGATTAAATTATACTTCTATATTTGAAAACTATTTCGTGCTCTGAATGCTATTTCAACAGCTACGATTGTGGTTGTATAGTATTGACATTGAATTATTATTGAGATTTTATTTGATTCAAATTGCATTGACATTGAGATTGGTTTCAAGACTAACCACCCAGTTGAGTCATACTCATACACTTCCTCTACCGTTTCAGATGTATGAGGACAACTTCGATGCTCCAGCCGCAACAAAGGTAAGATACATTCGTTTATATCAAATCTATAATAATAAATAGGTCTATAACATATCTAAGGGGCCGTTCAAATTTTACGTAGGCAGATTTTTTTTCAATTTTTTCAATTTTACAATGATTCCCTCCGCCCCGTCCCCCTTGTCAGCAAAAGTAAGTAAGGATCATACCCCCTCCCCCTTTGCTTACGTAAACATTTTAAATTATGTCTTTTTTATACATATTGTAATTTTAATATTCTCTTATACCATAATGTCTAATTCTTTGTCGGTCTTTGCTTGTAATTTATAATTTCAAAAAGTAAATAACTCCCGATGACGTAATCATCATCTAGACACCCCCTACCCCCATATCATCCAACAAAATGGCTGAAGGGATCGGAATGGAACAGGGATAGATTATGGTTAGCCCACGGGGAACGCGGGCGGAACCGCAGGAAGAAGCTAGTATTGTACAAATGTGCAGGTGCACATTTCCAGTCCCCTTCTTTTGTTTTTGAGGATAAGCTGGTAAACTAGCAGACGCATCACCTGATGGTAAGCAATCGGCGTTGCCCATGGCCACCTGGAACACCAGAGGCGTTACAAGTGCGTTACCGGCCTTTTGGGATAAGGAATTTGAGGATTTTTCGGGATTCAGGGATTGGGGAAAGGGGGGGGGAGTGCAATTGGGTAACTAAGTATATTATGATATGATTTAAAAACCATTATGCTTTCAGGTTTGCAGAATCTGCCTCGCAATGGACACGAAGATGTATAATATAAATGAATCAAAACTGGACATTATGTTTCAAGAGATCACCGGATTGGTTGTAAGTTTACCCTGAAAAATTATTTTGAAAAAAAAATATATAATACATTGTCTTAAAAATCAGGTCTCGCATTCCAAAATGAAAAAATATTAGACACGTATTTTTTATTTTGTCGTATAAGAAAGCAATACTTATACCTATAAAATTGGAGCGAGGGGGACTGGGATGCCGTCTCCTCCTTTTGCGAAGCAGTCATGCTAGCTAAGGAGGAGGCGGGACGCGTGAGGCGGCGAGGCGGTGCTAGCCATCGCGAAGGACACGCCACAAAGAGCCACCACGGATGGGGCCCAATAGGGCCGATGCCGATTCGGAGTCGCGGAGAACCTAACGGGTAACCGGGGCTCCGGCTCGACGTGCAGGAGAAGGAACGGGGTGGTTTTTAGTCAGGAAGAGTCTGACACTCCCTCCCGCCTCACCCAAGCGGGAGCAGTCATTCGATGATTTTCCCCCCTTAAAAAATACCTATAAAACTAGCTATGACGTTTCTGCGTACAAAACGTACCTAGAAGTGACATCACGCGATGATTCAAATCGATATATCGTCGAAAGTATTTGTTTCCGTAAGTAAATAAAAAATACTCGTGTAATGTTTTAAAATAATGTACCAGACGGACATTAAAATAAAAATCAGTTACCCTTTTGCATTGATGGCTTTTTAAGAAGGTTGTAAGTGTGGGAGAGCCATGCTTCGGCACGAATGGGCCGGCTCGACCGGAGTGATACCACCAACGAGCAGAAAACCATCGTTGTTTCGTTGTGTGAGTGAGGTTACTGGAGGCCCAATCCCCCCGTACCCCACCCAATCCCTGAATCCCAACAATCCTCAAATTAATTATCCCAAAAGGCCAGTAACGCACTTGTAACGCCTCCGGTGTCCCATGTGGCCATGGGCGATGCTGAATGTTTATCATCAGGCGGTGCTCGTTTATTGGCTTATTCTGTTAAAAAACAGGACTGCACTCTGTTTTTGAAGATTTTAGAGTTGGTTTGAAACTAGTAAAAACCGATAATATAATTTAAAGTCAAAGTCAAAAGTCAAAATTATTTATTTCAATTAGGCCAGAGAGGCACTTTTGAACGTCAATAAAGAAAATTAACAAGTGAAGCTATTTGCTCATGCCAAGGTGTAGATTCCTATGGAGAAGAACGAGCAAGAAACTCCATAGGTTACTCTTTTTCAATCAGGTTCACAATACAATTCTCTAGTTACATAGTTTTGTTGTTTGGGTTGTGCGAGAACAATGTAACACTAAAATACAGTCAAAGAGATCGAAAAAAAATAACCTTAAAGGACAGTAAAAAAAATACAGTCACATCAGTCATTCCAATTGGGTTACCTTTTCTTTGTTCACCACTTGGCGCTAATGCCTGCCTCATTGGCCGAGTGGTCGCAAGTGCGACTCCGTGCAACGGTTCTCTATGACACTAGCTGACATAGATTGACATAAGCGCCATCTATTGAGCCAAACATAGTAGCCCCCAATATAAGGCACTTTTGAACGTCAAATAAAATAAAAAATGTCAGTCTGTCGGTCAGTCCTCTAGCGAAGCTATTTGCTCATTCCAAAGTCCAAATACCTACGGAGAAGGACGAGCAAGAAACTCAATAAATAATACTCGTACGCGAGTCAGACTCACACTTTGTTATTTTATTTTGATGTTTTTGTAATTTGCAGGGCTGGTCAGAAAGACTGCCGCAGCGAGTATGCTGGGAGTGCGCGGCCAGACTGTCGTCCGCGTACCACTTCAGGGAGAAGGCGCTACGAAGCGATAAATTACTGCAGGAATTAATACAGCCATATTCTTATGTAAGTGCCAGTTGTTTTGACATGTTTTTTTTATGGAATAAGCGGCAAACGGCCATACGGATCACATGATGGTAAGCGATCAGCGCCGCCCATGGACACCCACAACACCAGAGGAGCCTCAGGTGCATTGCCGGCCTGTTAAAAAGGAATACGTTCTTTTCTTGAAGGTTTGAAGGTCGCATCGGTTCGGAAATACCGCCGACGACAGATCATTCCACAGTTTTGCGAAAAGATGGGGCAGCTATCAAGTTAACTCGTCGAATACCGGTTTTGTAGACACAATTATAGAACAATAGGTTGCGGTCACCGGTGACCGCTTGGTGTTTGACAGTTTAAATAATTCCTCAGAGCACTCCCCGTGGTAAAAGCGATAGAAAATGCACAACGAAGCTACATCTCTACGCATTGCCAAAGAAAAAAGAAAACAAACTCAGAAACTTTCGCATCACAAATTGTTTTATTATCCTTTCCCGTTCTGATCCCTTTAGCCGTTTGGCGTGGTTGAGTACCAAACATAGACAAAGTTTCGCATTTTTTTATTTTGTGTTACTGCCTTTTCGATCAGGAACATGGTAGCCCCGTTACTTTACAATTTATAATACTAGTGAATATTTTTTTTTAAAAAACGTTGCTCCACCATAGGGTTTTCTCCTGTGTCGTGGGTGCGTTTCCAAACATACAAGTTCACAGACACAATGACACCCAGACCCGAAACAACAATTTGTGAATCACACAAAGTGTTGTTCCGTGCGGGAATCGAATCCGCGACACGTTGCACGGCAGCCAGTTGCCCAGCCACCGCACCAAACGAGCAGTCAAGTCAGTCAGTCAGGCAGTCGTTTTTTGACATTACCCATATCTATGTAGACTTGCAGAAATATTATTTTACACTATTTTGTTTTCAGATAAAAATACGGGATATAAAGTTAATTAATCGGACCAGGTACAAACTGACATCGAATTTAATACACCAAGTAAATGAAGCAGATGATTTCAATCTACACATTCAAGATCGGGACATGATAGAAATTGAAAGATTAAGCGTACCAGAAATCATTGAATTCTTACCCCCAGACGCTGTTGAAATTATGGACGTTTTACCTATAAAAACAAGGAAAAATAGTAGCATTTTACATGCAAAATCTAAAAGAAATATCAACAGATTTATATCCGCAGATTCTAAGAAAAATATCGACATATTACCCGCAAAATCTACAAATAATATCGGTATTCTACCCGCAAAATCTACAAAATGTATTCATAGTTTACCCGCAAAATATTCAAATAATATCGTCATTCTACCCGCAAAATCTTCAAATAATATCGGCATTGTACCCGCAAAATCTGAAAAATGTATCGATATTTTACCCGCCAAATATTTAAATAATATCGACATTCTACCCGCAAAATCTACAAACAGTATCGATATATTACCCGCAAAATCTACAAATAATATCGGCATTCTACCCGCAATATCTACAAAATATTTCGATATTATGCCCGCAAATTCCTCTAAATATATCGAAATTATACCAGCAAAATCCAGAAAGAATGTAGACTTGTTATCCGCAGAATATAAGAAAAATATAGACGTATTACCCACAAAATCTACAAATAATGTCTGCATTGTACCAACAATACCTACAAATAATATCGACAATTTACCCGCAACACCTACAAATAATATTGGCATTATACCCGCAAAATGTACAAAAAATATCGAAATTTTACCCACAGACTCTAAAAAAATTGCTGATTTACCTACAGTTACAAATGTAGTTGAAATTAATGATGAGAGCTCGAATAATTGTTCCTTCGACGAATATGAACAATATGAACAATTAGACGATGAAGATGATGAAGATTTCGGTGATGTATCTATAGAAAAAACAATAGAGGACATACCAGAGGAAGAGAAAGAGATATACGCAGTGAAACAAATTAGTACGAAGGATGTTCAAACTAATATTCCTCCTATTACAAGGGAACAGTGAGTAATTTTGTCATTTCAGTTTTTAATACCTTGATATTATATCGTATCGAAAGTTCTCTGTTCATACAAAAGTAGTATCTAAACATTGGAAATAAGGTCTATAATGGGGTTAGTAGAGAAGTGTATTCAACAGTTAAGACGCAAAATGTTAGATAAACTTAGATTTATTTGTCATCATCTTAATTATCGTCACTTTAACTTCTGCCAACTGCTTCGCCCACGTTCCCATGGGATAAAACCTAGCCTATATGTTATTCTAGACCATAGGCAGTCGTGGAGAACCTAACGGGTTACCGGGGCTCTGGCTCGACGTGCAGGAGAAGGAACTGACTCTTACTGACTTAAAACCACCCCGTCCTGCACGTCGAGCCGGAGCCCCGGTTACCCGTTAGGTTCTCCGCGACAGTCATCTACCCTATTCCGATCGATCGACATTGGTATTGTAAAATTTTGTACTCTGAACTAAATGGTACTGAGTTTGGCTTTACATTCCGTACTCTGAATGCTATTTTATCAGCTAAGATATTACGATTGTATAGTTTTGACATTGAACAATTATTGACATTTTATTGGTTTGAAATTGCTTGACATTGAGATTGGTTTCAAGAGTAAACCAGGTTGATCAGGGTTGAATATCGCAGTATAAAAAGTTCTGTTATCTGCTCTTAGTTTACGAAACCTGCGGGAACATTAGGAGGGTCTTATTTTACCGTCTTGAACATTAGTTATTAACCGACTTTAAAAAAAGGAGGTTCAGTCAGACTTTGATTTATATGTATGGCTGAACCGATTATGATGCAGTTTTCAGAAAAGATTGTTAGACTTAAGAGAAGGTTATATTATTATTAGAAACCTTAGAAACTCGCGATAGAGTTACTCTTTGATTTTAGAAGCTTATTGGTTTTTAAACCGCTTTGCATTTTAGAAACTCAGAAGGCAGAGAAAATAAAGAGTACCACTATTAGAAAGAAAGAAAGAAAGAAAGAAAAATAATTTATTCGCCACCAGACATGGACCACCGAAAATTAACAAACAACATAAACATTAAAAAACAAAAAATAAAAAGAAAACAATATAAAAAACATAAAATAACAAAATAAAAAAAACAACAATAAAGCCAACAAAAAACATTATAAAAAAAAGCAAAAAAACGAGACAGGGTGGCAGCATGTCCATGACGGAAGGGCTCCCAACTCAGTATAAGAAATCAAATTATAAAATCAAGACTAGCTAAACCATAAGTCCATAACTATTAATTGGAAAGAAAAACAGCATCATATTGACTGTCAAATAGATTAAAATTCTCTCAACACCAAATAAGCCGTCTCAATAACCTTCGAGTTCCCGCCATCTTGACTTTTTCATTTTTCGAACCACAGATTATATTTTCCCGCTACGCGATGACGTTTCGTTTTTTTTTCTATGCTTCTAACAGTATATTAATTACCTGACTTTAAAAAGAAGAGGTTAATGTCGTTTTTTGTATGTTGTGTACAAAAAATGTGTTACTAAATATTATTTAACATAGATACTTACATCATTTCCAATCAGAGAATGTTTCAGCCTTTTGTGTACTTTGAAGCGATATTTGCTAACAAACATGTACCCGCATATCTCGCACCCAATATCAGATACATGTTTAAGCCGTAAGTGACTTAAATATGATGATGATTTACTGAAATAAAGATTAATCTCAAAAATATATTTTTTAATAACTGGTTTCTGCCCGCAACATTATACGCGCAATCCCGTTTTTTCCCGTTCCCGTGGGATTTTCGATGATGGTGTCATGGCTAAAACGTTATTTCTACGTATAAAATGCATATAGAAGTGACGTCATGCCACATTTCAAATCAATATATCGTCGAAAGTATCTGTGTACGAAAGTACGTGTGTAATGTTTTAAAATAATATACCAGACGGCCATTACAATAAAAAAATAGTAAGTTGTGTTGTTTTTTAATCGTATTTTATAAAAGATATATTACAAGCTTTACCCTCGCGTGGTGCTTGGCGACTGGGCTTCACCCAGTTGTACAGTCTCTTTTTTGTCCCTTTAGACTTAATTCATTCTGTCTCCTGCAGTAATTCACCGAGGGAAGTGGAAACTATCGTTTTTTTTTCTTCTCCTCTTACAATATCTTCTGATTCACTTCGTTACTCATGTCCCTGGGACGCGCCGGACTTCAGTTTTCCGGTGTTTTCATGGTTGTATCTACTGTAGACCTTGGTGCACAGGAGTTGCAGCGGATTTTGGAGGTTGTGGCGGGTTTGTCCCTTAAAAAAAAGCTTTAACTTAACTTGCATTAAAAATAAAAAACATATGTCTCTTTGTGAGACATTTGAGAGTCATATTCTTTTATTTGTATTGGAAACTAGCTTCGGCCCACGACTTCGTACGCGCAATCCCGTTTCTCCCATTCCCGTAGGATTTTCAGGACTTTTTCTGTCATAAGAACCTTCTCATGACAATAACAAACACAACAAAAAAAAAGAGCGAAATCGGTTTAGCCGATCTCAAGATATGGCGTGACAACAGGAAACGGGTTTCATTTTCATATATATAGATAAAATACTAGAATACTGACAACGTGTAATACTGTGGAATTTTGGAAAGTACAAAATGCCACAGTCTGTTTCGTGTGAAGATTGAGCGGTGAATGAATTTAATTAAAAATAATTCGCGACAGGTAGGTAAAAAATAAAAAAAGCATATATACGGTCGAATTGAGAACGTCCTCTTATTTTTGAAGTCGGTTAATTAAAACGACGATATCAATGTGCGCCGTAGCTGTGGCAATCATCCAAGCAATAGGATAATTGAGCAGGCGTTAACGCCGCACTATGCAACTTACTAATCCATAGAATAATAAACGGTACCTCTTTTTATATAAACGAAAAATTGTAATTGTTTTTCTGAAGGACATAACAAGGCTTTTTATTTTATTATTATTAGTATGTATGTGTGTGTGTGTGTGAAGTGGAATCTTGCAACTGAATTTTGAACCAGATATCTTCAACCGATTGTGCTGAAACTTTGTATACACGTTTAGTTGGCTCCGTCGCAGAACGTCCACTTCTCAAAATGTCGACTGGTCGGAAAATGTCCCTTTCTCAGAATGTCTCTTTCGCAAAATGTCTCTTTAGCAGAATGTCCACTTCGCAAAATGTCCTTTGCATGAAACCATAAAACTTATTTTTTTTATTTATATATATATCTAATATTTTAGACACAAAATCGAGAAAGATAAAAGAACGAGTACTTATGGATTTGACGAGTCCCTGTTTACGATAACACCGCTAACATACGACGAACAAATTGCTGAGGTCACTAAGAGGCAGCAGAGCTCCAACTACATTAACTCCACCTTTAAGTGTGGACTTTGTTATCGAGGGTTTATGTCTGAAACAACGTACACCACGCATGCTCTGAGACATAGTGAGGTAAGTTTTATTTATAGTATTTTTTTTAAGCGGGGAAAATCATCGAATGACTGCTCCCGCCTGGGTGAGGCGGGAGGGAGTGTCTGACTCTTACTGACTAAAAACCACCCCGTTCCTTCTCCTGCACGTCGAGCCAGAGCCCCGGTTACCCGTTAGGTTCTTCGCGACTCCGAATCGGCATTGGCCCTGTTGGGCCCCATCTGTGGTGGTCTGATGGCTCATTGAGGCGCGCGCGGTACGCGACGCGCCGTATGCTCGGGTTTTTTATAGTATAAGCCGGTAAACGAGCAGACGGGTCCCTTGATGGTAAAAGCAATCGGCGTCGCCCATGGACACCTGAAACACTACAAGTGCTTTACCGGCCTATTGGGATTGGGTAATTGGGCATCCGGTAACTTCACATACATGACGAAACAACAAAAGCGTTGTGTCGGTCTTCTGCTCGGCCGTGGTATCATTCCGGTCGAACCGGCCCATTCGTGCCCAGCATGGCTCTCCCACACTTAATATATTATGTAGATTATACGTCATCTGTAGAGATTTATATCTTATCCGATGATGATTCTTCATTAAAACCAGGAACTGCATCAGGTTTCAATATTGATTCCTTCAACTAATAAAAATGTTTGAAATGGAAAGGAAAATATTTCATTACTATATATATTACTAGCGACCCGCCCCGGCTTCGCACGGGTGCAATATGGATGATATAAACCTTCCTTAAGAATCACTCTATCTATTAAAAAAAACCGCATCAAAATCCGTTGCGTAGTTTTAAAGATCTAAGCATACATACGGACATACAGCGAAAGCGACTTTGTTTTATACTATGTATTGATATATTAATAAAATATTTTAAAAAAATGAGTTTATAAAATAGCGACATTCAATACTCTGATTACATCTTTACGCATGGCAACTTTGTAAACGTCAATCGCGTTTTGTTTTTATTAAGTAAACGTTTTGTTTATTGCTTCTTATCATTATTGAATATAAGTTTTTCTACGGTTTCCCAAGTTCTAAAAATTTATTAAATATGCTAGCATAACGTATTTAGGGTATTCTATAACTGCCCAATTTTTTAAGGTAAAAAAAATGACAAATCTTTTTTAGCACGGCGGTACGAAATCTGCCGTTCTCCTTTAAACTTTAATTCATGTCCGATGATTTTTTATATTTTATTTTACAAAATATCTATCAGTTATCACCATTACATTAGTAGATTACCAAACTTGTCAAAATAAACTATTTTGAAATCAATGATCGATCATTCTGACACTGTTGTATAGCATACTTGAGGCCCGGACCTATTGTTCCGATGACGTCATGCCCACAGCAAATGGCAAACTTCCACAGTAAATCCGTCCCTCACAGACACGAATGAAATATTGTGGGTTCTCAAGGATTGAATGCTAATAATCCTGCGTTATTCGTTTTTGATAGAACTCCGGACTCCGGAGGTTACAAATATTTCATTTACTTATCAAGAAATCCTCCTGACTCAATAGTCATAGCGGGACCAATGTCCCACTCTTATTACAGCGTATCTCTGGATACCGTAATGAAAATATCATGTCACCAAAAACTACATACTCTACATAGGCTGCATTTTATATCATTTTAACCCCCATTTTCCTAAAGTAGGGGGTTAAAGTTGGTATGGAATATTTCGTAGTTTTCAAGGTAGAAAGCTAAAAATTGATAATCATGCATATTTTTTTTTTTTGTAAAGTTGGCAGAACTAGCTTCTGCCATCCATGAATAAAATATATTCGGTTAACTGGTAAATTCCTGGAGTCTGGTTTGATAAACCCAGCTTCGATTTTTATCAGAAAATATCATATATCATATTTGCATCTTCTCAAGATAAGTTTGAAATCGCCAACCTGCATTGAGCATGCGTTGTGATTTATGCTCAAACCTTCTCCGTGTGAGAAGAAGCCTTTGGTCAGCAGTGGCCACTTATAGGTTGTTAATGTATCTATGTTTATTAAAGTGAATATTTTCAGCAAAGCGGTCCATTCGAGTGTTCTATATGTAAGAGAAGGTTGAAAACTAAGAAGGCGTTGCAGAAACATCTGGCGCTACATACTCTACAGTACAGTTGTAATAGCTGTTCGTTTGTCGCTAAAAGTAGGTACGTGTTATAACTAATTCTTACATTTACTAATAATATACAATGAACAGTTTGTTTCAACGCGTTAACATCCGAAACTGCTGGTTCGAATAGGGATAATGACAGGGCATGAGAAGTAAAAATCTAATTAGTCCGTAAGTTAGGTTATGAAAAATTATTAGACACGTATTTTTTATTTTCTCGTATAATAAAACTACTTAGATAAAACGATACAAAGTTTAGGAGTGGGAGGTACCTACGTCATTTTAGGGTATAAATCGTACTCAAAAGTGAAGTCATGCGATATTCCAAATCAATATATCTTCGAAACTATTCATTTCTGTAAGAAAATAAAAAATACGTGTCTAATGTTCTTAAATAATCTGTGTGCGTTACTCAGGCCAGATGTTGTCGAAAATAGTAATTTGAATCTTATAGATAATTAGTTTTGCGGCTTCTGTAATTGTTGCGCACTTTTATAAATTTGTTGTGCTTATAGTTTTTTTAACAATTTCACAAAAACATTTCCTGCTGGGGTAACGTTACCCCAGCCAAGATTAAGATGGCGACGCGAACGGCGCACATACAATGTTGCAAAGTGAAATTCGAAAAGAGCACATCTAAATCTACAAAATTGTCAATTTTTAAAGCTCCCGGATAACTTTCTAGCTAGACCCATTTTTCCTACTAATTATCCGACTATGATAGTATAAGATAAATATTGTTACATCGATCAAATAGCTAATAAATTATAAAATACTTTATTAAAGGCACGTAGCGAGAGAGCATCAGAAATTGCATGCAGGTCACAAATACCAGTGCCCACATTGTCCCAGGCAATTCGCGTAAGTTAAAAATTTATTCAGATCCTGCACAAAAGAGACCGGCAAACTTTCATAGTCAAGGAGAATGCCCAAAAAACAGAGTCGATTAAAATCCATTTTATTTTCGTTCCGCGGCAAAATAACGTGCTGCTATCAAGCTACCATTACATAGCTTCATCGAAAACAATGATTGAATTTGTATACCATACCATGTATATTCTACTTTGTCAAATTATTTTAATCGATTCTGGGTGTTTGCTCTATACATTTTTTGGGCAATATCCTGTGACTTCTATAGACAAAAATGAAATAGGTACTGTGGATTTTCAAAGACTCGCATTAGTATTCGGCCCTGTGTAATTAGGTTTGCGATATCACTTGAGATTCCAAATATTTCAGTTAGTAGTCAAGAAGTCTTTCTTGCTTGAATACCCACAGTATTTCATTTTTGTCTGTCGGGGCCAGGATTTGCCTATATCCTTTATATTTAACTTCAATATCTATCAGAGTAGAGTAAAGTCATCACCAGCCGTTTCCTGCGGGTTCGTATACCCTACTATCATACATCGATTTGGCTTAGAACCAAGTATGGGCTAAGAATACTTTTTTATTAGTGTTTCTCGAAAATCCCAAGGGAACGGGTAAAACGGGATTGCCCGTCCGATGTCGCGGGCAGAAGCTAGTTATTAATAATAGAGAATTTTTGAGATTTTACTTTATTTACAGAAAATCATCATCATATTTAAGCCACTTACGACTTAAGCATGTATCTGATATTGCGTGCGAGATATGCGGGTACATGTTTGTTAGCAAATCTGGCTTAGAAATGCACAAAAGGCTAAAACATTCTCCGATTGCAAAAGGTGTAAGTATCTCAAATAATGTTTAAATAACATATTTTTTATAAACTACGTTTAAAAAAACCGACTCCTCCTCTTTTCCTCTCCTACTCCCTTTCTCTTTTCCGCACTAACCGCCTGACGCAGGTCCTTATCGGACATGGGAGCTTCGAGAGGTACCTGTGTCTGATAGGGCGGGAGGAAACGTCCAGGTCATCACTGCGAGGACCGCCCAGAGGACATGGTGGGGATATGCCCTGCGTGGGCTAAGCACCGTGCCCTGAGGGCACGACGATGTGTTTGGCGACGGCGACCTGTCGCATCCGGCCGTTGGATGCCGTCTCCTCCTTTTGCGAAGCAGTCATGCCAGCTAAGGAGGAGTCGGGGAGCGTGAGGCAGCAAAGCGCTGCCTCCTCAAAACCCTGCCGATGTGAAGGACACTCCAGGCGTCGCACGCGGCTCATTGAGCGTGTGCGTTACCCAGGCCAGATGTTGTCGAAAATGGTCATTTGAATCTTATAGATATAATTAGTTTTGCGGCTTCTCTAATTGTTGCGCACATTTTTTTTTGCGCTTAATAGTTTTTTATTAATTCACAAAAACATAATGACTTTAATCGTATTATCTCATTAATTATATTATCCAATGTACTGAGCTAAAATTTTACTGATATACAACTGAAATAAAAACCTAATTATTGACATAACATTCAGTTCATATATCCCAGTGGCCAAATAACACCGCGCGCATCAAGACCGTGCTCGTGAAGAACTCAATATCATCATACTTGTTTAAATACTTACAGGATACTAATGAAACTTCACATACATTTGAAGGCAGTTACAAGCTTTAAAATAACGTTTAAAGTACCCAATTGGAGTGTTTTTCTATTCAATGAAATAACCTTTTAGCTATGTATTATTTTGGTTTTCTTTTGCAGTACAAATTTAAACTTATTTTTAAAAAGCCATGTACAAAATATGATGAGAATCTGCTTAACAATTTTAAAGATCTAGCAAAACCGAAAACCTTACCCCAGCAAAATCTCGAATAACTTCGCAACCGAAGAAAGAACAAATACAAAATAAGGCACAACATTTACTTCATTTAGACAACAAATTTTATAGCTAGTTATTATTTAAATATTCCCATTAGTAAGAAAAATGTCTGGCTGGGGTAACGTTACCCCAGCAGGAAATGTTTTTTTAAGAAATTGTTAAAAAAACTACAAGCGCAACAATTTAAAAATGTGCGTAACAATTACAGAAGCCGCAAAACTAATCTAATATATAAAATTCTCGTGTCACAGTTTTCGTTGCCATACTCCTCCGAAACGGTTTGACCGATTTTGGTGAATTTTTTGTGCTTATCCGGTATGTATGAGAATCGGCCAACATCTATTTTTCATCATGCCATCCCCCTAAATTTTTTTTAAGATTGCGCATATGAAGTCGCGGGCAGAAGCTAGTTATCTATAAAATTCGAATGACCATTTTCGACAACATCAGGGGGCTTACTCTTGAATCCAATTCCGATCGATCGACATTGGTATTGTGAAATTTCGTACTCTTGAGTTGTAACACTAGCGCCCATTGCAACCGTATTGCGTGGATATTGAATGAACTAAATGGTATTGAGTTTGGCTTTATATTCCGTACTCCGAATGCTATTGTAACAGCTACGATAGGGGTTGTATAGTGTAGATTTTGTTGGATTGAAATTGTATTGGCATTGAGATTGGTTTCAAGAGTAAGCACCCTGGCCTGGGTAACGTACACCCATAGAGCCATTAGACCACCACGGATGGGGCTCAATAAGACTGATGCTGATACGGAGCCGCGGAGAACTTAACGGGTTGTCGGGGTTCTGGCTGGAAGTGCAGGAGTAGGAACGGGGTGGCTTTTAGTCAGTAAGGGGTGGTTTTTAGTGTGCCACTCCCTCCCGCCTCTCGTATGCGCGAGAACTCATTCGATGATATTCCGCCTTCAAAAACAGAGCCTCTCTTTTTTGAAAGTTGGTTAGTTAATATACTAAAAACCTCGCCTAAATGTAACCAACAGTTTTTTGAAAACCGCAATAAAATCGGTTCAGCCAATCGCGAAATAATTGCACAAACATACATACAAGCTCCATGCTGTATCTAGAAACTAGTACAGCTATTCAGTAAGTGCACGTGTGTAAACCGTTATATTCAATTTAAAAT